GGAGGATTGGGTTTACTGGATTTGAAATTTTTTTTTTTTTTTTTTTTTTTGCAGCTTGTTGTTTTGTTTGAATGAAAGACTGAGTGTTGCTGAGAAACAAAAACTTAAGAGTTAGAAGGCATGACCTGAGGTTTGGATGGCATGGATACTTATGGTATGATATAGTTAAAAGTTATGTGGTTTTTCAAATCCACTTTATTAGATGTACCATATTGAGAATATGGAATACTATAAATGTAAATCCAAGCTGTGCCCAAAAACATCTTTATGGTCTTAGCACAAGAAGCATTTTACAGAAGAGAAACAACAGGCAAAGACAAATGGTTAATGTATTGGAGAATCATCAAAGGCAATATAAAATTAAATGAAGAGAGCAACTAATGGCAGAAGGATATAGTTGTCAATGGTTTTCCCATTTATAGCTATCAGAAAGATTTAAAATAGATAAAAAAACTTATGGTTTGGATCAAAGAAAGACAGAATTTGAAGTGCAACTGTGTACAGATGATGAACATGTAATTTCTAAAATGTATAAACTTTTGTTGAAATTTGAAATGGAAGAACAGGTTAAAGAATGTATGATAAAGTGGGTTAAGAACTTCGGTTATAATATACAGATGAAGCAATGGGAAATATGTGGCTGAAAAAAAGAGCCACTTAAGAGCATAAGATTTTCCTGTGAATGGCTTTTGCAGTGCCTCTATTGCATCTACAATCTTCTACAGGAATGCCAGCAAGAACATTACTCTGGATTCTGGATACAGGGTCCCTATGCACAAATGGCATACTTTTTGTTGTCCATGAATTCTGCCCCCTCTGGAAGGAAAAGAAAATCCCATCAATATAGTTAAATATGCACAGAAAGCCAGAGATCTTGGCCACCATCGTGTAACTAGGATGCATGGCTGAGAACATTAATGATCAGTGGTACTGGAGGGCAAGTACAACTAAGAAAATCAATACACAAAGGGGTGAAGTCATCCCTTAGTAAACCTCTGAGGGCACCTGCCCTTATATAAAACTCCAGGCACTTCTTATCTGCCACACAGATAAAACCAAATAAAAACATATAGTGTAGATCAACCCCAGAGATGAAGGACCATGTGTGACCATGCAGTGGAGTATCTACAAGGGGAAGAAGTTATGGATTCACTTTTATTTGAACCAGGAAGTAAAGTGCCATGAGAGAAATGTTCTAAAGGATAGATATTCCCAAAGACTGACGCTCAATGAAAACTGAATCTGAGACTGAGTTCCATTTGTTTAAAAACAGAACCCTGTTGCTATATGCTTTATGTCCAGTGTGATTTCAAAGGGATAATTTGAAAGCACAAAGAACTCTGAAAATAAGAGACACTTTAACAAATTTATAAACTGAATTACCACATTTAGAAACCAATGTCCATGGATAACAATGAGTTCACTCAGCAATCCCAATTTGGCTTGAAATACATCCATTGTCTCAGTAGGGGAAGGAAGAGGCAAGTAGAACAGACAATTACTGCTCCAGACTTACTTTTCCCTGAAAACATGTCTACTGGAGAAGATCCATGGAAAAAATCCATACTAATCCTTTAAAAAGAGAGCTAGTTTGGTGTAGTGGTTAAGGCACCAGGCTAGAAAGCAGGAGACCATGAGTTCTTGTCCTGCCTTAGGCACAAAGCCAGCTGGGTGACCTTGGGCTGGTCATTCTCTTGTAGCCCTAGGAAGCAGGCAATGGCAAACCACTTCTGAAAAACCTTGCCAAGAAAACTGCAGAAAATGGTCTAAGCAGTCACCAGGAGTCAACAATGACTTGAAGGCACCCCCCCACCAAAAAAACCTTTAAAAAGTGTAAGCGCATAAAGGATTTTTTCTCAGTGTCAATGGGTTTTTTTAAAAAACTCTGTGAAGAGCCCCACCAATTCCTTACTCTCATCATAAAGCCAAGCAGAGCAGAAGCAAATTTAATAACAAAAGTTAGTTTTTTCTTAAAGCAAGTTTAAATCAGATCACTTACCTGATGACAGTGTGCAACTGCGCACTACTGCTGTGTTTCTGGTCCGTGTATTTGATCCAAAATATGATGCAGAGGTGGAGTCAGAAGATATTCCAGCAATACTACGAGTACAACTAGTAGTATTCCCTTTATAGCTTGTAGCACAGGATTTTCTGCCTGAGATATTTTGATTAGAAGAGTCTTCGGTCTCAGACTGAGATTTACAATGCTTCTGTTTTGCACTTCTTAACATACAAAATGAAAACAATATGTATTTGATTAATGCACTTTATTTTCTAAATGCCTTTGTAATTAATTATACTGTAGTGGTTAAGCTGTTGGGCTAAGAATAGGGATACGCAAGTATACAGTGGGGCAAAAAAGTATTTAGTCAGCCACCAATTGTGCAAGTTCTCCCACTTAAAAAGATGAGAGAGGCCTGTAATAATCATGGTGGAAAATAAGTATTTGGTCAATATCAAAAGTTCATCTCAATACTTTGTTATATATCCTTTGTTGGCAATGACAGAGGTCAAATGTTTTCTGTAAGTCTTCACAAGGTTTTCACACACTGTTGCTGGTATTTTGGCCCATTCAATCATGGTGGAAAATAAGTATTTGGTCAATATCAAAAGTTCATCTCAATACTTTGTTATATATCCTTTGTTGGCAATGACAGAGGTCAAATGTTTTCTGTAAGTCTTCACAAGGTTTTCACACACTGTTGCTGGTATTTTGGCCCATTCAATCATGGTGGAAAATAAGTATTTGGTCAATATCAAAAGTTCATCTCAATACTTTGTTATATATCCTTTGTTGGCAATGACAGAGGTCAAATGTTTTCTGTAAGTCTTCACAAGGTTTTCACACACTGTTGCTGGTATTTTGGCCCATTCAATCATGGTGGAAAATAAGTATTTGGTCAATATCAAAAGTTCATCTCAATACTTTGTTATATATCCTTTGTTGGCAATGACAGAGGTCAAATGTTTTCTGTAAGTCTTCACAAGGTTTTCACACACTGTTGCTGGTATTTTGGCCCATTCAATCATGGTGGAAAATAAGTATTTGGTCAATATCAAAAGTTCATCTCAATACTTTGTTATATATCCTTTGTTGGCAATGACAGAGGTCAAATGTTTTCTGTAAGTCTTCACAAGGTTTTCACACACTGTTGCTGGTATTTTGGCCCATTCAATCATGGTGGAAAATAAGTATTTGGTCAATATCAAAAGTTCATCTCAATACTTTGTTATATATCCTTTGTTGGCAATGACAGAGGTCAAATGTTTTCTGTAAGTCTTCTTACAGGCCTCTCTCATCTTTTTAAGTGGGAGAACTTGCACAATTGGTGGCTGACTAAATACTTTTTTGCCCCACTGTACATCCTCACTCACCCATGCAATTTACTAGGTGATTTTGAGCCACTCATGATCTCTCAGCCCAATCAACATCAAAGGATTGTTGCTGGGGTGGAAATTTAGAGGGGAAGTATTATGTATGTTGCCTTAAACTCCTGGACAAAAGTTAGGATGTACATGTAATGAATAAAAATAAAATGCCTCAATGAAAGTTAATAAAATATTTTTAAGATGCAACATAATACAAAATACTCTTAAAAGAAGTTTCACTATTTGTACTATGAATATTAAGGTTGAAAGACTAAGGAAAATTAGTTATTAGTTAAGGAACCTGATTGGAGGTCAATTATGGTTTAATGAGATTTCTGTGGGAAAAATGGTAAAGAAGAAAATAATTTAATTTTAGCAAATTTTGAAACGGGTAGGGGGTTGGACTCAATTACTTCAGAGGTCCTTCTAACTCTATGATTCTAACTATTGGATGCTTATATTCACTATGGAAAACAAAAAAGTAGAAACAATTAACAAACATGGAAGAAGTAAACAACCATTGTGACCAGGTATCTGTTCTGATTGTATGTTTTTGTTATGACTGGACCACAACTGGTTTTCCTTTATGCCATTCCAGCATCCACAGAAGTGTTATTAACGCATTCATGGATATCATTTTCTCATAAAATGTTTACGCAGCAGAAAACAGTATATGATGAAGTACAGTTGAAAAGTAGAAGAAAACTAACTGAACATGAGAATTTACCCCAGCCGGCTACTGCAGTTATTAAATACTACTTAAATAAGGACCAGATCATCTAATGCCAAGATGTTCCTAAAGTAATATGGAGCTCAAATAGCGCTAAAGCTAAACAAGAGAAGGAAATGCTGCTGCTTCAATCAACCAACAACTCTTTACATGAAATCTGCTCATGCTGTATAACCCTCATAAGTTCAGCTGGACTCACTCCCAGCTCAGTATGCTTAGGATTGCACCTTTAGCTAATATAAATATTTTTATACTATTTTATTATTCACCCCGTTAATTTACCTCAATGTTTTGGCAGAGTGCTGTACATATTTATTCTGACTTTGCAGCTTCCTCCTGTATCTTTCACTTCTCCATATTCTTTCATTGTGCTTCTGCTCAGTTCTAAAGTCAGAGAGAACTCTTCTAGTTTTTTCCTCAAATAGCGCAGATAATCTCAGTGTCATACTATATATCTAGATTAGGAAATGCAGACTGAATTAATATACTGTAAAGTTAACATAACTAACAAATTAATAATTTTCTTTTAAAAAGTATGAACTAACAAGTACACAACTCTATCACACTATTCCCTTTCAGCTAAGCAACAACAGACCAAAGAAAAGGAATAAAAAATAGTAAACCAAAAAAATTAAAGGTATGAAATAAGAAAAGGAATAAGAAAAATAACTAAATTGATTCTTTTCACTTTTATTTATAATTCTATTCATTCTGGTAGAGGGTTGGTTTTTTTTAGTACTTTTCACCCAATTTGAAAACAATTTATTTCCATCAAAATTGCTCAGTTTTTCTCTATCTCATTACCTTAACCAATCCCTGTTCTCTTTGACTACATTCATACTAAAATACAATGTATTTTCTCTTCCTCATTTTCTTTGCAGCAGTAATTCTCTTTTAAACTTCTTTTCCTCATCCACAGGCTTTTTCACTTCTACTTTCCACCAAGCATCTTTTTTATATCCTGCATTAGCATAACTTCATGGACTTCTGTAGAATAATAGAATTCTTTTCACTCTGTTACAGTTTTACATCCGCTTCCCTCATGCCCACTTGCTATTCATCCTCTTGGAATAGTAATCTATTTTCTAATAGTTTTTATATAGGATATGCACTTTCTCTTCCTGCAGTCATTTAATTTTCACTCTAGTTTGTTTCACTTCTTTCCTTTTCCTCCATGTCCTTTTTCCCCCCAACATCCTCTACACTCAGAACCTCTTGTCAGCATTATATCCATTCCTAATTCTCTCTACTCTTCATTATAAACAATCAAATCAATTATACTTTAAATCTGTATTTATTCCTTTACTATGTGTGCATATGAAAAGGTTTAGGTTTAAATCACATATTTGAAACAAACAGACCTTCTCCTAGGTAGATACACATCAAATGGTCACTGTTCTGAGTCTTCAAATGACCCTGTCACGTTTTCCTGTAATCTCTCATCCCATTCCTGACCATCCATTCATGTCACTTAGTATTTCCCTCTAAATCACACCCAGAACATTCCAAGATTTTTCCCCAAACTAACCTCTGATTTTTTTTTAAATTCCATTTTCTGGAATCATCATCAACCTACGGATTCATATTTTCATATGCACCCACTATAATTCCCCCAAATCAGTCCACTTTCATTCAGATCTATTATATTATTTTTCTTAGTTTCACTTTTTTAAAAAAATTTCATTTAAGTAATGCTCTTTACCATATACTCCTCTTCCATATGCTACTGTTATCACTAGATGGACCCATCCACAGATAATAATAATAATTTAAAGCCAACCCTCACATTTTTAACCAAATTACTGTGAAAAATGTTCTGCCTGCAATAAGCCGACCCTCAAAAATTGTCGTATGTTTTAATTTTCACAAGTGGCTTATCCACTGATAGCACATTTTTCATCGTATTTTGGTTAAAAATTCAAGGGTCGGCTTATCCGCGGATGGGCTTATCCACAAGTATATATGAGATATATGGGTACTTTAAAAAAGTATTACCATATATACTCACAGATAAGCCAAACCCAATTTTTGGGGTGTATTTTGGCATATAAAGTTCTCGGCTTATCCGTAAGTATATATAGTGCTTCTCTGGTAAGCTATTCATGTATTTTTGGCATTCTATTTCTCAGTGTGGTTATAATTAATATGTGCACCAATTTAAACATAAAAAATTAATGTTGCCTAATAAATTGCAGAAAAGTGAACATAATGGGATGGAGCAGTATTTGAAAATCTTATCCAGGATATTTTAATTAAAACAGATTTAGCTACATAGTTGAAAGAAGCTGCTTATGCATTCAAAGCATGTATTAAGGACTGTCTAATGTCTTTGTACTTATTCTCCTTTAAACCAAATATGTTTCTAAAGTAAAACTCCAAAGTCTATTTATCAACTGCTCTTTAAGTTCTCATAACAGGGTTTTCAATGACTTCATGCTTTCAATTATCTTCCAATATGATTTTCGTTTCCTGTCCTTCCAACCTTTGCCCAGTTGATAACGATACTGATTCGGTTAGTGTGGTAAACAGTATAGAAATGTTACCTTGGACCTTTTGTTTGGAGTATATGCTTTAGCATTGCTAAATATTAGTCTGACATCTTTGCACAGTTCCATTGGAGTATCATAGTTTCCAGCTTCTAGTGTTTCCTTTATTGTGCCTAAGTCCATTGGTGTGTCTATAATTTCTCTGTAGTCCTAAATAAAGATAACCAAATGGCTCCATTATTAAAAGGCTGGGGTGGAGTTTCTCATATACAGATGTGAAAGCCTGTAGACAGATAGACAAGACAGACACAGAGAGGAAGTATGCAGACTAAGTAACTCTAATATGCATTTTTCTAAGCACTAAAAAGAAGCACAACTGATACAGCCATATGAATATGCAGCTTGGAATGAAGTCTGAGACTGAAATTAGTATGTCTATTATCTCAAATAGCATTTGAAGAAGTGGCATCCTAAGATACAGAGAATATATTACCAATTCTTGTTTATTAAACTCTAAAACCCTAGTGAGGTTACCTTATACCTTACTCCAGTATAATGTTTTTTCCTATTTACATTTTTATTACCATTCCTTTGCAAGGCTATTGCATAAGTGCCAAGCTAAAGAAATACTTCTTTAGCCTATAAATATCCAGTTTTCAAAAAGTGTAGTTCTTCTCTTGGCTGTGATGATAAAAAGAGGACAAAAACTACAGCACTTATATTTCTTTCTGAAGACTCAAAGGCCAGAACAGAGACAAAGAAAGAAAAAGAGAGAGAGAGGGGGAAGCATCTTGCATATATTTACAAAGATTTCCAAGCATTTTAATTTCAGATGGATCAGAATGTTGTTCATTAATATACATTTATATAGCCTTTACATATACCAATCTGCTTGCCTAATGAGATCCTCATTAGAGGACCTGTTTTATGTCCAATAGCCCCATAAGTGCATTTAACTTATAAAAGGGCAGCAGATAGCTGCACTCAGATTCTTCAGCTCCCTTTCAACCAAGGCTTCTCTTGTCTTATCTACAATGGCCTTCCACCAAAGTGTTGAAGCTTCTCCAGAACAGTTTTGGGGAATTCATGCTTCAGACATTAGATTATTTTTAACTTGCTGGAAACTGTCAATTTAATCATTTTCAGCAGGTTTTATTCTGATGCTTATAGTATTTGTTTTTATTAGGGCTGCACTCTGTGATTCAGTACAAATTTTGAACCAAACATGGAATGCAGATATTCAGAGTGCCCATCTCTATTTCCAAAACATAGCTTTGAAGTTCACAGCACAGAAAGGATAGTGTTGCTGCACGGCAAAAGGATGTTCTTTTTTTTTTTTTTTTTTAAAGTACCCTTTCTGTACTTATTTCATGGCTCAGTGGGGAAGACAGGAAATACTAAATTCAAGGTTCAGCAGCCCTATTTAAATCAGGGAGTCATTTGTCATCAGAATAACTGTAACTTAGTTGCTTTTTGGGCAGTGGCAAGATCGTGATAGGTTGCAGGAGAGATAGATGTGTATGTATTATGGCTGTGCAATGAACCATATTCAAAAAGGAAAAGGAGACTTGGAGTGTGCATCACCATGGAATGGTAGCCATTCTGTTTACTTTTCCAATTAGCAAATAAAATACTTCCTTTTAGCTGCACTACAATTGAACAATGGTGCCCGCAGGTTGATCCACCATAAATAGCTATCTCAAGTGAATACCTTTCTTGTTCTGAATAAGAAGGTACAATGGATAAGAGAATGTTTTAAAATGTGGCATGAATGATATTACTGTAACAGATTGAAGAATAAATACTTACAGGATACTGCTCCAAATCAACAGGCTGTCTAAATGGCTCAGAATCCTCACACTGGAAAATTAAATTAACAAGTTCCATACATTGCTTCTTCCATCCATTTCCATCATAGCTTGGTTTTGCAACATTTTTTCCCTTCAAGGATTGTCTCTTAAAAAAAAAAAGTATAATATCCATAAATATTTGATGATATTTAAAAATGCAGTTATAACAAATGAAGTACATTCAATATCCATCTACTTAAAAATAATAAAAATAATACAAAATTACTACTCATTCATAAAGAACTTATGGATAGAGAAAACTGACTTACTTTCCTAGAAGATGTCCTTGGCTCATAATCATCATCCTAGGAAGCCAACCAGACATATTCAACATAAATTTATTTTGTATTAAGGTACTGAACACCATTTTGCTCAATAAGTTTACTATACTGAATCCAAATTAGTATTACAAATGGGGAAGATTAAGGCTTAATAAAATAGCAATGAAACAGAAATATTAATAGTTAACTGCATAATATACGAATAATATACAAATCTAGCTTTATTACCAACTCAGTAGCAGCAATGCTGTCTTCATTTGTTGCAGTACACAACTCAAAAATGTTGGTACAATTTGGATTCCTGAAAAATATAAGTGCTATTTTAGACACAAAAGCATGACTGCTGACTCTATGTAATGTAAGTTTGAAATCTATTTTTCTGAACATTAACATTTCAGGTGGCTTTTAGAAATAAATCAGAAATTCATAGAATTATGTTTCAAAGTACAACAGAAATGTATGGAATATAGAGTTATGTTAATGAGGAATATGAATACTTGGTGGAATAATAAAATGATTCCTGCAGAGGAAAAAGGAATATAAAGAATGTTACATAAAATGGTGACAAAGAGAAAAAGGTAGGTGTAAAAAAAGGTAGAGAGCGCAAGGAATGGATAAAATTAAATGAGGAAGAGAAAATGCTGGGTGATTTTGATGGAAATAAAATACTGTTCTGAAAGTAGTTGAAGAGGGATAAACAAGAATCCTATAGTGAATCAAATTAAAAACTGATGAAATAATCTGGGATGAACTGAAGTAAGGAAATACTAAGAGATTTGTATGGGAATGACAGAGACATGCCAAAAAGTGGAACACAAATGATGCCATAAATGTTATTATCCAAGGAAAAAGACTGATGAAAAAGAAGTAATAAATGTTGTGAGAATGTTGAAAAATGGTAAAGGTGTCAGGTAGAAATAGTGTTACTAGAGAAGCAAGTAACTTGCTTCATGCATATGAAAATAATGTTTATTGTACATTTATTGATTTAGAAAAAGGATATTATAGAGTAAATACACTTAAATTATGAAATGTTTTGCATAAGTATGGAGTTGAAGATTGGTTGCTGAATCTGGTAAGATGCAATTATCTGATAAAGTAAAGTATGTATGATAAATGTATAAGGACTGCTTGTAGTGATGTTAGAAGTGTATTTGTTGAGGATGTGAATGTCTGTGTCTTTTTCTATATAGATGATGCCACGTTGTTGGCTGAGAATCTGAATCATTTGTAGAAAATGTTAGATATGCTAAGCCATGCAAAGTGTACAAGTTCTGGCAATCTGACCGAAATTCAATACAAAACAGTATTCCAAAGTTTTCAGTTTATTCACACAACTGATAAAGGAAATTCAAACAAGAACAGCAAAACGCTTTTGGTTTCTAAGCCTCAAGCATAGGTAATTGCACTGCACAGCATTGTGAATTATTTCTCTCTCCTTTTAGTTTTAGTTGGTAAGATAGAAAAACTATTTGCCTTTAAAATATACAGTAGGTTTTTTCCCTCAACTCAAACTTCAAAGTAAAATAAATCTAAGTCTATATAGATGTGCAGGTTATGATACAAGTTTAATGTATGTGTGCACTATTCTATTTTTTTACCCTACCTGTGTTCAAATAGTAGAGTTCAGGAAGGGATTACAGAGATTGATGGTAGAGATTTTTATTGTTATTGTTATGGTATATGTGATTGTAAATTTCTTTATTTTTATTCTCTGTGTTGTTTGTGTTTTAATCTTAGTGTAGATGTTTTGATTTTTTTTCCTTTCATATGTTGTACACTGCTGAGAATTGTGAGATTGCAGCAGAATGTAAACTCAATCAATCAATCAATCAATCAATCAATATATGAAGGAAGAGTGAATGTGTTGAGAGGAAGGGGAAGAAAAAGGAAGTTGCACTTAGACGGAGATGGTAAGACCCTCAAAAAGAGAGGGACCAAAAGGCAATGTATGAATTAGCATATGGACATGGTGGAAACAAATTTAATAAACCCAGAAATATATGGAGAGCTACAGTAAACGGTATTACTGTAAACTAGGTTTAATTGGATTTCATACATACAAGGACACAGAAAGCAAATAAATCTGATATCATTATAAACAACAAGCCCACATTTTACTGTTCTATTGATATAACACTTACCTAATAAATTCTAAGAGCTGATCTGTGATTTTCCGAGCAGACCTAGCAATAGTGCTATTGGGTTCATTGAAGGTCCGAGCATTGCTTTCAATACATCTTACTTCCCAAATCAATGCAGAAAGTCTCCTACGTTTTAGCAAATCAACAGTTAAACTTGCAGTCTCTAAAACTGGAAATCTTTAAGCAAAAAAGTATCAATATTTTATTCTTACTTATACTGTACACTACTAAGATCCTAACAAAACTGGACAATATCTAAATACTGTTAAATAAATAAAAAGAAAAAACAAACAAAAAATCCTTTTAAGACCATATTTTAGCAAAATAATGTACTCTCTTACACTCCAGTGGCCATAACTTTGAGGACCCAGCATAACTACCATTCATTCAGCGCTGTCATAACTTTGAACGGTTGAACAAATGGTTGTTAAGTGAGGACTACCTGTATGCCAAATCATCTGCTATCCTGCCTGACCATCTGCACCTTCTATTCAGGTATCTGAATCTTCTCCTTTTATGTAAGGGATTCTTAGTAATTTTGTAATTAGTAAGAAATGACTGCTACCTGGGTAGCTTAATACTTCTGAGAGCAAACAAAAATCAATTATATTGGATTCCTGTCTACCCCAATAAGTGATTTCCCCATTACAGCCCTCCACAGTTCTTCCATTCAGAATAAGATTCATTGCCATTTGAAAGTCTCCAGCTCCCTTAATTTATCTCTGAATTTTTAGGATGATGGGAAAGGCAATACTATTACATCATGTAAGCAAATCTCTCCAAGACATGGTTGGCCCTGAGTCTGCCTGCCTTTCGGATGACTCTTAAGAATCTAGCTCTTCCCCTAGGCTCTTCCTAAGGTTAGGAAGTGTTGTGGCCATCTTGATTATATTGGTTATTTTGGGTTGTATGAAATTGCCTCATGTGCACTATGTCTTTTTTGTTTGTTTCTTAGTGGTTTCTATTTTTGATGTTATTGTTATGATTTGTTTTTATCCTGTAGGCCTGAGTTGCATGCAATTGGGCAGTTATATAAATAACTGTTTATACACATACACACACACACACTTTCACCCCTGGATTGGTAATGAGGCTGGTGTGACTTATTTTAGGGTCTCTAGCCCCATCCCCACAAACAATAATCTGTATCCATCAATGCATCCAGATTCAGTGAACCCCTGTCTGTGGAATTGCCGGCCCTAGTCCTGGCCTGTCAGAAGACAAAGTAAATAAATGAATTTGGTAAAGAGTAAAAGAATAGGAAAGAAAAAAGGGTAAAGGTGGAGATCTGCCTAAACTGAGGAAGTCCTTAACAGAGCTAATGGGCTTGGGTAAGACAGGACTGAAACTGAGAAAGGAATTATCCCCGTCATAACTTTCTCTAATCCTGCTCTTGGAGTGAGGGGGAGAAAGATACCTCTATCTCGCTGTACTATATGGTAACAATAATTTTGCTATGCAGCCAATCAGCAAAACTGTGTGTTATGTTTAATGCAGCTGTCATAAATAAATATTAAAAAAAGAGATGTTCTGTTTGCAAAATCTCATGGAGGGCATTTTTCAAATTTATAATTTCTCCTCCAAGAGTTTGTGGGCAGGGTATTTGTTGCTTCTCAGTAGAAATAGGTGCCAGCATCTCTCAAACTAGTCAGACTTGCTGCACAATGCCTTTAATTTTTTTCCCTAGATTCATTTGATTTAAAAATAAAGAGGAAACTAGAATGATGTAATACTAGAAAAGAGACAAATATAATAGAATGCAGACTGAGGAGATAGAGGGAACAACTTCACCAGTTTGCCTTCTGGTATTATGATAATGGCCATATTCACCATTTTAGGAATACGCAAGTTTCTCTTTTATAGTAACCACTTTTTAAGTACCTAAGCTCTGAAAATCCCATATATGCTCATCTCCCTGCAAAGAATACCAATCATCTGTGGTTTAACTTCAGAGGAATTTTATAAGCTAGTTCTATTAACTGGTTTCTAGTACCAAATCAGACTAACCTGTGGAAATGATTTTCCAGTCTCTGCCTGATAGTCCAAAGATCTGTTGGATAAGCTACTACTGTACAGTACTTTGGATATGTATTCAGATCAACTGGACCAGCAAAAGCTGCTGAAATATCTGTCAAAATAATAGTTTTAATTGGTTGAAACAACTAAATGCATTGTCAGCAAATAATACAGCATATAGTAAATAGTAAATTAAGAGTTTATTTTACAAAATCTGGACAGAGCACTGCTTACAACATCCAAGCAACTGAACTCTTAATGTTAAAACACTATATACACACCTTTACATTTATAAAAACACAGCTATCAAATGTTTAAAACCTTACCAAGACTCAAAAGCTGATCAATTCCACAAATAATTCGTTCACACTCTTCACTCTGCAATTTCCCCTGCCATTCTCCTTTTTGAGGTTTATACAGTAGTTTTGCCATCTCTTCAGCAGTAACGGAAACACTCGCTCCCAGTTCTTTAGGCTGATCAACTAATTAAAAAAAAATACAGGTGGAAAGGAGAATAAAAACACAATGTAGCAAGGTTAGTAACATTCATTTTTATGCCAAGCTTTTATATCAGAAGTTAAGCGGTGTTTTAGCAACAAAATCATTTCCATTTTTTGCTTTCTAAATATTTCTGTTCAGAATTTTCCACATTAGTTTCTTCAGGATTAGGAATGGAAGTATTTACAGAATTAAGTATGTTCTTTGTTAAATATATAACAGCTCCAACAGCTGCAAAGAAATTCTTTTTCATTTCAAGTTTTTTGCACTAGCTGCTTTTGACCTCCGAGACAAAACAAGCTTTAAATACCTATTAACTTTCCCTATCCAAAGAAAAGCAAGCAAAAGGAATGATTTTGAGTATACATGCTGACATATCTTAATTATGCCAGAACAGCTTTTTGAAGCAAAAACCAAGGAAGCCACGTTCAACATATTGTTTAAATTCAGTCATCATGGACTTATTTTGTTTACCCCAATATACCATGGTCTGTGACTTAGTATATTTTATGAATTCAGCTATTTATAATGCATTCAGCAACCTATGTGTGAGGTTATTTTTTTTCAATGTGCAAATTATGCTTCAAATTTTTCAGTACATCACTTAAGATCAAGAGAGTTGTATGCATCTTAGCAAGACATTATTCAGGAACACCAAAAGGCATACATGCATTGTGCTGTTGCTACTGCCAAGTACATAATGGGAAAAGCCATTAATATGCTTCATTTACCTTGTTTACATTTCTAAGAACAAATAGTGAAGACTTAATCAATGGTGAAGGCTTTATCAATCAACGTCATGAAATTAGTTATTCCTATGAGGCAGCTAATAATGTGAAAAATATTACTAATATGCTAATTTATTCTTTAAGAAAATAGATGGCAAGCATCAAGTTTAGAGATGCACACTGACGTTTGCTTATTATTACAATTTATATGCTAATCCACTGCCAGAGATTCTGAGCAGCTTATATTAATAAGGGGTGGAGTTGTGTGTGTGTGTAATCACTAAGAAGGTTAAAACCCAGCGTCTTTGAAGATGACATTCCCTCAGTGGTGGAAGCCTCTACAAGCCCTCTTGCCCACATCTTACTGGACAGGCAGATTCACCTTTGAGAAGGATGACACAGAGATATCAGGACCTGTACCATGTAGGGTTTTAAAGGTAACAATCAGCACTCTGAACTGCACCTGGAAGCTAACCGGTGCCAATGCAGCTCCTTAGTAGCTAACTACTGTTTAAGTATTACTAGCAGTTCTTAACTGCTAGTATTAACTAAATAAAGTGACAACTAAGAAAAAATGTGAACAAATTAGATTAACCTACCATTCTCTGGAATTGGTTCCATGTCCCATGGGCTAAGTCGTTCAGTTTCACCATTGTCCCATCTAGTTAACAAACCAGAAGAAACAATGAAGATACTTCTGTGTAGAAAATATCACAATACATTCTAGATGTGAAATTATATTTTTGTTACGTATCTTGTATGTACTCAGTAGGATATTTTCTTGTGGGAACAGAATTCTTGAAAGGAGTTATAGGTATTTACATTAATATAAGCATAAATTCTACCCCTCTCCCACAGAACCCATATTCTTCAGTGCTCCCCAACCCCAATGTACATGACTTTGGTTTGGGTCTAACAAAGGTTGTATTTTTCCATTAACTTCTATTATGTATTTAACCTTTTTCAGCATCACATTTTGGAGACCTAAGCCAAGGAGTTTCTTTAGAGATACAATGGCCATTTAGGACCTCAGTCTATACATGTGTAGTCAGAAATAAACCCTACTATATTAGAAGAAACTATGAAGCTTACTTTCAAGTAAGCGTTTAAGATTAAAGTCAAGGTTACAAATGTCTGTATAATCCATCCACAGAAACCAGAATTCCTATGTGTATCTTATCTGGCCATCTTTTTTCTTTCTTTTTTTTTAAATATATTCAAAAACTTCTATAATTTGTTATGCTTTATGAGTGAATATTTAGGCTATATGCAAAAGGTAAAAGGCCAAGAAAGCCAGTTTGGTGTAGTGGTTAAGGCACGAGGCTAGAAACCGGGAGACTGTGAGTTCCAGCCCCGTCTTAGGCACAAAGCCAGATGTGTGATCTTGGGCCAGTTACTCTCTCTCAGCCCTAGGAAGGAGGCAATGGCAAACCATTTCCAAAAAAAAAAAAAAATCTTGCCAAGAAAACTGCAGGGACTTGTCCAGGCAGTCGCCAGGAGTCAAGGAGTCACTGACTTGAAGGCACCCCCAAGTTCTTCATTATAAAAACTGATATGCCTTCATAAGGTTACAATCTGCAGTTAAAGTGACACAAATGCTGCTTTGTTTTTAAAGTTGTCAATCTGACCATCATTAAGCAAATATGCACATACTTAACGCTGTAACACTGAAAAGGGCTATCTGGATATTGTGGCTGATACGGCTCTTGGCTCAAAACAGTTCCAAACCACCAAGCGTCATCAATAATTGAACGAAATCGATCACCTGTAAGGAAAAAAAAAAAGCCCCACAAATATATTGTATTAAATGTTATCCAACCCATTCTCTAACAATCTAGGTTTCTATAGCCATTCTAGAACATCTGAAAACACCGTGCTAAGGAAGGCCCAATATTAGGTCCTCAGATGTTTTTGGACACAATTTCCATCATCCCTAATCAAGATAGCCAATGATCGTTCTAGTTACAGTCCTACACTTCAGGCTGATTTTTTAAATACAATCATAGCAAGTTAATTTCCTTATTAAACATAAGAAAACTGGATAGGTTTAATACTGCAAATTATGGCTGCTATAACTATACACGTAAGAAAGTGAAACCTGAGAAACATTATTACTTTCTATTTAGAGAAAATAATTCTGTTAGGTTCAGGTGTTTAGGTTTCCTACACTTTATGAAAACATCCTCAAACAGAAGCTCCAGTTGTTTGATTCAGTTAATAATCCACTCTTAATGCTCCCACTACTTCTCTATCTGGTTAGTGGCAATGTTTAAAGGCAGAAAAGACCAAAGATTTCAGTTTAATACTTAAAATGAATATACAATAAATATACAATAAAGTTATTTGCGATTGTACATAACTAAATAGGATTTTCAAGATGATTAATTCCATAGACGACCAAAAATAACTTACAAGGTTGCCAGTTCCTTTGTCGTGCTTCATCATAGAACTGACGTAACACCAGGAAGTCAATAACATCTGGCATATCATGGTATCTAGAATGATTAAACTTTAGTCAGATGTGCAATGGCCAAAACTCTGGATACAACTTTAAAAATAATGTAAGGAAAATGATACATACTTGAGAGAAAATGATTTGTCTTGAAGCTGTCCTGTAACATGATCCATGAGAGTAAGTTTAAGACAGCATAGTGTAGGAGGTCCAACTTCATAACGTATCCCAACAATTTTTACCAATTCTTGTTCCTAACAAATGCACATATAAAGAGTTTTGCTAGTATTAGCACAACAATTAGATAAATTACTTATAGTTCTTTATCTGGTAGGCAGCCTATGGCATTCCAATTCACATTGAACTACACTCTCAGCGTGCCTGGGGAAGAAACTCTGAAGGATGGTAGTTGTAGTTCAGCAACATTTGAGTGCCGTATGTTCTATGTTAAAGCATGTAAATGATAGCTTAGTCAGGCAAAAATGAGCAACAACAAAATATTGCAGTACATTAGGATACTGTGCAAAAAATGAACTGTGTGCCGATATCTGGCATCCAGCCACTTGGCAAGTGACTGGGCACGTGCATGTCACTGGAACAGGTTGTTTCTCTTTAAGTCTTGAATGGCTCTGGAGTCTTACATATATAGTACATATTAGAGTTGGGCAAGAACTACATGTATCGCTCCAGCTAGATTCCCAGCTTGGAAAGCAGCCCAAACTGCCTTGTGTTACCCTAATTTGTTTTCATTTCTGGAGCCTTATTCAGGAAAGCCAGAACTTCTGGCAGGGGAAATATATAAATGTCTAACAAGGCCTACCACATTTTTATTTTTTAAAGAAATGGAATGCAGTGCAACTTGTAGAGAAGTTAGACAACTACCGAGGGGGTGAAATCTGCCAAAGTTGATAGCAATAAGTTTACACTGAAGTTATACTGACTTTTGACTGAAGCATCAATTTACTAAAATCACTGCTGTATGATCCTAGCCATCCTTTGCCAGGATAATCTGACTGAGATGTGTACAACCTTACTCCACCAAGCTTTTCTAACATATTTTAGTCTATATGAATTTGCTTTGTTATATTCCCCTCAGAGTCTTCAAATGGGGGTAGCTTATCAAAATTTCAAATGTACAATTAATTCTTCCAAGCACAGTCTAATGGTGACATTGCCTTACATACTAATATATGCATGCTCACTCCTATCAGTATGACAAATGTGGGGCTGAGAGAGTGAAGTGAATCCTGGGTTCTAGGACAAAAGAAAAACACACACATGTATCATTCTATTATTTAAAATTATTTACAGTTTAAGAAATAAATACCAATACACAATGGTTTGTGAGAGGGATAAATGAAAAAAAATATTAAAAGTAGACTGAAATATTGTTTTTTAAACAAAATAAAAAGACTGAAATACAATGTGAAAAATAGAATGGAAAGAATTCAAAAATTATAAATACACCCTCAAGTTGCAGTCAACTCCTGGTGATCACATCATCTCCTTGTATCAAACCCAAAATCTAGGGTGTAGCCTATGAAGCCTTTATCCTTCTCTTGACCTATGTTTTTATTGTCAAGCTCACTTCTTTCTTGTCACAGCCAACCATTTAAAGAAAATATCTTGATGATAAAAGGGGAAATCTTAAGTCATACTTGACAGGTCTGCAAACTTAAAAGAACACTATGGAATGGAGAGTAAAACTTTGGTCTGGATCAACTTTTGGTGACTGCATGAATAAATGGAAACCATCCTAACTTGCCATTAATAATAACTAATAAAATAAATAATAACTTGTAACTCTTCCAAAAACATTTCAGTAATCACTTTGATCTCATCCATCCATCTTATTTGTTGTCTTCCTCTACTTTTTTCCCCTCAGTCTTGCCAAGCATGGTTTTTTCCCCCTTCCTAATCCATCATCTGCTTTTATCACATGTGCAAAGCACACCTGCTTAGTCATTATAACCTCAATGGAACAGTCAGCCTTTATTTGGTCCAGGACTGATTGACTGGTTCTTTTTCAGCTTATGGTACTCTTCATAACTCTTTTCAATTCTGTGATTCAAAAGCTTTTATCTTTCTTTCTCTTTCTCAATGTCCAGCTTTCATAGCAATATATTACCACTGGAAAGACAACTATTTTCACTATTTTGATCTTAGTTTTCACAGAATTGTCCTTATGCATCCTGATCTATGTCAGGCTTCTGATACTTGAACAAAAAGCCTTGCAGGCAGTGATTTAAGGCCAAGTTCTATGATAAGATATATTTATTGCAAGAACTAGAAAAGCTGCTAAAGAAGTCCGACAATTACCAAAGTGATATACAAACCATATTTATTGTAGAAGCAAGTTTTAATACTCTTCCTAGTATCTGTGCTACAAAATAAGCTGAGAGCCTTCTGTTTTTTGGCAGCAGGAGTGGCTAACACCTGTTCCTGTTATGGTGACTGATGAGTCTGGTCTCAGATTTAGCACTTACATATTCTATGTTTATCATTATAATCACATCTTTATTATCCAACACACACCCCATCTTTATCTATTTTTGATCAAAGCTAAATGCCTCCTTAATTTATTCACTGTCATCCGTAAGCTCACTAAACATGCAGGTTAACATTACCTTTATGTTCTTAAGATTTAACATAAACACACATTTTTCACTTTCCATTTTTGAAGCTATTAGATTGGGAATCTTAAATATAGAATCTTAATCATCTTTGAAATCAACAGCTCCTCATTTACGCTCTCATCCTTCAACATCTATGTACTGATGTACTATACAATCAATTCACAACTTTGGAGTATGCACTGCTGACATTTTAGCTACAATATTTTTCTTATACCAGAACATTCCACAAATCTATTTTCACAATGTAATTGGAGTTCTAAAAATGTACTCCTTCAAGGATGACCACAGCATTTCCAAAATCTATCAAGAGAATTTCCAAAGTTAAACATGAAATAAGCTTAGTCTGTTCCGTGAGAAAACGATATTTTGGAATAATCTTTATTTAAACATCACAAGCAATTTATTTTCTGGAAAGTATGGGCTAAAATGGAATTGTTGCTTTTGATCAGTAACTGTTAATGTTACTTTAAAATCTTCTGAAAGCTTACAAAAATTATAATTTGTCAAAAACAGCAGAATGACTGCATTCAGACAAAAGATTTGTTCTCTGCTCGGAAAAGATGCATTGATTGCCTTGAAAAACTGCAATTTTAAACAGACTGTTTTTTTAGAGGCTAAATCAACAATTCAGTTCTAATGAAAAATTTAAAACATTAATATAAATATGAATAATTTTCATGAAAATTGGAATAAAGAACTGGTCTTTCCTATTTTTAAAAAAATGGTCTGAGATTTTTAAAAATGTTAAGTTTCTTATGATTGTAAAATTAACAAAAAATTCAGGTTAATTGGATCCTTCAATGGATGTTCAAAAAAGGATAGCTGCATACCTTATGTTGGGGATACAATAAATTTGAAGATACGTTAGTCCATATATAACAGCCTGCCCTTTCTCTGCCTTGTTTTGGTTGAATAATCTTATTATTGTGAATCAGGTTCTTGAAAATAAGTTAATATATAAAGATGTTAGTGTATTCCTAAACAATATTCCAAAAATTTGGAATTATCTATGTAAAACTTTAGATCTACTGTGCTTGGACTGTTGAACAAATTATCATGAATTTCTGGAAAGAGACTTGTGTACCAGGACTAAAGGTTGATTTGAGTTAATGTGTCAACTTTTAGCCTTTAAAATAGCTCTTTACTGGCACTATAATTCTTTTTGATCAAGGCTTAATTTGCTGTTAAAAAACTGACAGTAGTAATTTTCACATAGCCATAATTATTGGATTTTACTTTTTTTTTTTTTTGGTCTGTCTGGTTTATTCTGTTTATTTAACTTGTATTCCAATGCTTTGTTCTTTGTCTATGCTTCTATTGAAGAAATACAGTACTGTGCAAGTTTTAGACAGGTGTGAAAAAATGCTGTAAAGTAAGAATGCTTTCAAAAATATATATTGTAATCGTTTGTTTATCTATTTACAAAATGCAACGTGAGCAAACAGAAGAGAAATCCAAATCAAATCAATATTTGGTGTGACCGCCCTTTGCCTTCAA